AGCACCTCATCCCAGCCAAGCACAAAGGCGCCTTCCTCCCCCACCATCTCCAGCTGGCACAAGAAGTCCCACTGCTCTAAGACCAGCCGCTGCTGCACTTCACTTCTGGCACCTGCTTGGAAGACAGTGGAGATGCAAACCCAGCCTGGGTTGTGGTGGAGGGGAAGTGGCAAACAGAGAAAGGGAACAAGGAGGCAGAAAACCCAGGCATGGCCCCAGCACCTGTGATGTTGTGGAACAGGCTTATTTTTCATGTCCTCCTTGATCCCCGTTTCATCACATCACTACTTAAGGGGATCCCTGCCCCGTCCTTGCCCACAGTGCCACTCACGCCGCAGTGCTGCTGTGCGCACCGTCACCATCTGGATGTCAGCTGTGTCGTTGGTGTTGCTAGGGTACGGCTCTGCGAAGCCATACATGTGGAGAAGCTGCCAGTTGGCCATCTGCCCATATGTGTTGAAGATCTCCTGCCCTTTGCTGATGGGTTGTGTTGTAACCATGCGTAAACATTGCTGCGGGCAGAGAGAAAATCACGGAATCCCAGACTCGTTTGGCGTTGGAAGGAGGCTTAAAGCTCACCCAGTTCCAATGCCCTGCCGTGGGCAGGGACACCGTCCACTAGACCAGGTTGCTCCAAGCCCCATCTAACCTGGCCTTGAACACTGCCAGGGATGGGGCCTGTTCCAGTGCAGGGGAGGATGTGGAGCAAAATAGCTTTACATTAGAGTGCTCTGGCCCTGGGTTCACAGACCCAGCCTCCCAAGGCTTCACAGCAAAGAGGAATCAGACCACAATGCTGCCTGATGTAGCAGCTTTGCACTCACAGGGGAGTATTCCAGGTTGGCGTTATGGTTGGCCACGTGATTCAGAATATCTGCTACAGGCACCATCACTGGGGGATTGGGTCCCTTCTCATCTTCATCTTCCTCTTCCAAAGGCTCCTGAAAGCTAAGAGAAGGGAGATGAAGATAAGCCAGTTACATGCCTTCCAGCACAGGGAAAGCTCTGCCTTACACTTAAGGTTGCTGTTGCACAAGAAAGTAATGCAGTCTGCAGTCTTTCCTGTCATCCTACCTGTAGTCCTTGCTCCCTGTGGGAGCAAAGCCCTCACTTCTCACCTGTAGGCCATAACAAATGCTACCAGCTGCTTGTACAGCTCCAGTGTGTGCAGCTTGGGGTCAAATACGTTGGGATGGGACTCCATGAAAGGCACGATGATGGAGCTGTACTCTAGGTGGATGTTGGCCAGGTCCTTCTCCACAGCTTCTGGGATGCCTGTGCCCTGCAGGAGCCTTCTTCGCTCTTCTTCAGGCCTGTTGCCAAGAAACACAGTGGGTTTATCTCCACCTGCCCCAAGGGAAGGGTCTGTAAACTTATTTCACCATCTGAGCTTCCTGGTGTTCTCTAGGTTCCTGTCTTTCGGTTACGCCTGCAGGTTTCTCCAACCCCCAGCAGTGCCTAAAGGGTCTCTCGGGCTCCTACTGCTGTTGAGATGGGGCTAGCACAGTGGATTGGGGTCACCCAACCAGCCCATGTCCATCCTCAGCAACCTCTGGACTGTGGCCTACATTCAGCTGCCTGTGGGAGCTGTCTACAACCCTGTGAGGTTTCGCCTTACCAGAACATGGGGTGATCCAGGCTCCTGAAGTCCTGCCAGAGGGAGAAGTAAGGCCGCCAGTGGGAGTTGCTGGCTGTGTACTCGTGTAGGAGGGCTAGCAGCAGCGGCACCCAACCGGACTGGCTCTGGAGGGACTCCTGGCCTAAGAAACCATAGACGAATATAAGTTGACCTAGAACCAAAGCCTGATCCCACCGGCCTGGCTGTCAGCCTGGGCTGGGGAGTTCTGCTCTGGTTTGTCTTAGGTTTGGCTGAAGCAGAACCAGAAATTGCTGCTCTGGAGCTTTGGGTGGGAGAGCTGCTCCTGGCCCTGTGACCTCACCATCACCCCCCTTGCCCCTCTTCAGCAAGGAAGGAAGTGTTCTTTCTCCTAGCAGTCTGTCCAGGCCCTCAACAAAAGCATCTTAACAGCGGTGATACAATGCCCAACCACCCCGTTTCCTCTCTGTTCCAGCATCCCACGTGAAATAGGTGCAAGCCTATTTTCTTCCTTTAAACGGGAAGACCGAGGCAGCTCAGGCCGGGGGAGGGAGCGCTCACCTTCCCGCAAGAGCGCCTGGATGGAGCTGGTGTGCTGGGACAGCAGCGCGGAGCGTGGCACAGTGCACAGGACCTCTCCCGGCTCCAGCTCCGCGGCAGCCACCATGCCGTACCCCGCCACAGCGCCCTCCCTGCTCAACCGGACCTGCGGCGAGACGGGAGCCGTGACCGGGCTGCCCGCGCGGACGCGGGGAAACCCGGCCGTCCGGGGCCCACGCCGCCTCCTCACCTTGGGGCTGAGCTGCACCCCGGCCCGGCCGCACCACGCCAGGAAGCCGCAGAGGGGATCGGCGGCGCCGTTCCCTCGGGCACTGCTGCCGGCAGCCGCCTGCGATGGGAACAGGGCGGTGAGGCGGAGCCATCGGCCCGGCCCCACGTCCGCCCGTGGGTGTCCCCCCCCCCCCCACCCGGTACCTTGGGCCTCTTGGGCGCCGACGCCATGGCGGGCTGGCACGTGGTTCTGCCCCACGTGGTCCCGGACGGGCACTTCCGGGTGTGCGGGAGGCCCCCTCCTCTCCGACGGCGGCCGCGGAGGGTCACACCGAGGTGCGCGCGGTGGCGAGGTGCTCCTATGAGGCCCTGTGGGGGTGGTCTGGGGCTCTCAGCACCAGGGGGGCACCCACTGTGTCTCTGTGGGGTGTCTCTGCACCCACACTGGGGTCTCCGGGGTGTCCCGATCCTGGTCCGGGTGCCTCTGGTGGGGTCACACCACAACACATGGGATAAAAGCAGTGGGCTCTGATTAGTTAATCCAGATAATAAACCAAGCTCTGATCTCCCATCTGGGGCTTCTTTCCATCCATCCATCCCCTGACCCAGCACCACAAGACAGGCGTCTGCCTTCACTGGTGCTTTTAACAAAGCCACTTAGTGCAAAGAGGTCCCTGATGATGCCCCTCTCCAGTGAAACCGCTGTCCCTGGCACCCTGCCCCACCTCATTGTACGCAGATAGCCTCCACAACTCGCTAAAGTTGCAAACTAGGTATGCTTTTATTCAGCGCTGAGACGCATGGGGGATAATTCCTCAAAGTCATGCGTGCCTCAGTGTTGTTTCCCTCTACATTTATTCTCTAAAGTCATATATATGCATGAGGTTGCACAATATGCCTATACATATTCATGTCCTATCTCCGTTTCGTATTACAATGAGTTAGAAGGTCCTTTGCGCCTGCCCAGTGCCCCCTCTGGTCATGGGCAGCGGTTTCAAGATGAATTAACTTGAGTCTTCCTCCTGTAGGTAGGGGTCTTCAAGATGAAGTAAATGAGTCTTCCTCTTCTTGAACTTTTCGCCTTTCAGTCTTCATGTATGGCCTTAGAGTTTGGTCGGTGTCCCAGCCATAAACCATCTGCTTCTCCCCCTTATCAGTAGAATCAGGCCTCTGCTTTTCCTTGTCAATAGAACCAGGTGTCTGCTTTTCCTTATCAATAGTTAGTGCCTTTGTTCTGCTTACTAGGCATGATAGGTACAGACAATACTTTTATTTAAGCAAAAGAATTCCTCTAACCCCCTTGTACAACCCCCCTGTACATTGGTCAACCCTCTGCATCACCATGAGCACTTGGGTTCGGTTTGAATCTTCCCCAGCCTGGCCCGGTGGATTGCCTTGGAGCAGAGAGGGGCCCCGTCCTGCAGGGCTGGAGAAGGAGAAGAGCAAACCAGGGCCTGGCTGTTGGCAAAGCTGCTGCTGGGACTCGGGCTCGAGCCGCGGCCGCCGCAGCCCCAGCGCAAGGCACTGAGCGCGGTGCAGCCCCGGCCCCAGCGCGCCCCCGCGGCCGCTGCTCTTCTGCGGCCGGATCCCCCCGGAGCCAGCGGGGCTTCTCAGCCGCTCCCAGCGCCCTCTCGCCGCTGCCGGCGCATCCCTGCGGCACCAGCGCTGCCCGGGCGCACCGAGGGTCGGTCCCGCGGGAGCGCGGCCCGTGCGCAGATCCTCGTCGTTCTCCTCCTTTGTGACTCTGGCTTCTGGCTGTCCCCAGCAGGGCAAACCTGGTGTTTGTGCCTGCCGGGGCAGGGTAGAGGTCCTGGTCCTGGCGATGCTCCTCATCGCGGGAGGATGCCCTCCGCTGTGGTGGCTTTGTTGGGGTGGAAGAGGCCAAAGCAAGTCCCCACATTGTCCCTCCACTGCCACGGTGAAGTGGGGTCCCCACCGCCTGTCCTGAGCATCCCCCAAAACCCCAATTGTGAGCCTGGATAGCTCAGCTGGGAGAGCATCAGACTTTTAATCTGAGGGTCCAGGGTTCAAGCCCCTGTTCAGGCGAAGGCTTTATCCTTTAGGAGCAAAGTTGGGGAACCCGTGGGCAAAAGCAGAAGTTTCCCCTGCTTCTTTTCCATCATCTCTCCACGGCCAGCTCCATGCCATCTCCTACACAGCACCACTGCTGTTCCAGCCACCCAGTACTGCAGCAAGTTGCATGATGTCCCAGGTAAGGGTGGTGTTTTGGGGGTATGCATGGAGGGAGACCAGGAAGTAGAATAGATGGAAGAGGGAGAGACACAGTGGAGCTGGAGGGAAAGAAGACAGTTGGAAACTGGGGGCATGGAGGTGTCTTGTGTCGTGTGTGTGTGTGTGTGTCCCTCCAAGGCCAGTGCATGCTGCCCCCAAGTAATAGCTGCCCCATCCCTGGCAGCGTTCAAGGCCAGGTTGGATGGGGCTTGGAGCAACCTGGTCTAGTGGAAGGTGTCCCTGCCTGTGGCAGGGGGTTGGAACCAGATGAGCTTTAAGGTCCCTTCCAACCCAGACCAGTCTGGGATACTGTGAAACCAGCCCCTCGCTGCCCATCTCAGCTCCTGGGCAGCTGTCCTGGTGGATGATGGTGTTTTGGCAATGAGACATGGCACCTGCATCAACCCACCAGCTTATTTATTGTCCCGATGGACTTTGCTTCCAGTGGCTCCCCTCCCTTCCGCACGCACGTGCTGTCCAGCTCCAGCCCGCGCCACGGTCGTCATTCAGTTCTTGCCAGCAAGAAAACAAAGAGATAATAAATAGAAGCCTATTTGCAGGGGAAGGCACCGGGTCAGGCTGTGCCACGGGCAGAGCTGTGCCTGGCCCTGTCTGGAGGGACAGCAGGAGGGGGTGCAGATAGCGAAGCAGCAGCCCTACAGCTGCTACAGGCAGCACAGCCCTGCTGTGGGGCAGGGGGAATATAGCAACCTCTATGTAGTTACATTAAAATAGACTATTTAAAAAAGTTATTTCTAGGAGATAAAAAAAACAGTGTGGCCCACCCAGCAGCGGCAGGGCCATGGAGCTGCCCCGGGGCTTGTGGTGTGGGACCCCAGCCCACCTCACCCTCCCCACGGGCAGTCCCCTCCTGGGTGCCCCAGGTGGGTGCTTAATCAGGTGGCCACTGTCGGTGACGGAGCAAGGGCTGCGAGCCCTCCAGCAGCCCCGGGGCTGTGGGTCAGGGGCAGAGCACAGGCAAGGTGGGGGGGGTCCCCTCCTGAGCCCTCATGCAGGGTCTAAATGACGTGGCAGCAGTTGAACTGCCCCAGCGAGAGGAGGCTCTCTCTGGAGCCCGGCTGGAGTTTGAAGGCCAAAGCCTTCTCACAGAGCGGGAACTGCAGGAGCCTGTCCCGCAGGCTGCCCCCTTTGCTCTTGCCAGGGTCCAGCTTGATCACGTTCTCCACACCTCCCTCGATGCTCCCCAGCCCTGAGCTCTCCACCAACCTCCCAGCCAGGCTGGTGGGTGCCTCCTGCCCTCCGGACTTGTCCGTGGGGCTCGACAGGGCAGTGTGGGTCACTTCTCCCCCCAGCCCCTGGGGCACCTCAGCAGAGCTGCTCTGGGGTGATCCAGTGACTCCCCTTTCCCAGGGGGGCTCTACAGAGGAACTCCCAGGGTCTGCATCCTCCTCCCTCTTGGGGGGCTCTGCTCCATCTCCCCACAGTGCTGGGGGATCCCAAACCCCCCTCACTGCCTTCCCAGCCCAGCCCCGGCCCCCCAGCTCGGGCCCAGGGCCCCACAGCTCCCCACAGCTAGATGGGTGGTGAGTGCACAGGAAGGCTCGCATCTGTTCCTGGTTCAGTGAACTGCTCTTCCTCTCCATGGCACTAGGCCTCCCCTCATCCTCCTCCTCCTCCTCCTCTTCCTCCTCACAGATCTGCTGCAGGGCAGGGGTGCTCTTGGTGATGGTGGTGCCAACGGCTGGGATCTTCAGCAGGGTCCTGGGGGGCTGCCGGCTGCCGATGTCGGCTCCAGTGGGCAGGGGTGGCAGGTGGGAGACAGTTGTGAGGCCACCCGGCACCTCCGTGAAAGGCAGGAGGCTGCTGGCGCTGCCCATGGGGCTGAACGTGCCTGGTAAGTTGCCCCTGAGTAAGAGGAGGGATGGAAATCACAGAATCACAGATTTGTGTTGGAAGGGACCTTAAAGTCCATCCAGTTCCAACCCCCTGCCACTGCCAGGGACACCTTCCACTAGAGCAGGTTGCTCCAAGCCCTGTCCAAGCTGGCCTTGAACACTGCCGGGGATGGGGCAGCCACAGCTTCTCTGGGCAACCTGTGCCAGGGCCTCAGCACCCTCACAGGAAAGAACTTCTTCCTTAGATCTAACCTGAATTTCCCTGTTTAAGTTTGAACCCATTCCCCCTTGTCCTATCACTCCAGTCCCTGATGAACAGTTCCCAGCATCCTTGTAGGCCCCCTTCAGATACTGGAAGGCTGCTTTGAGGTCTCCAGGCAGCTTCTCTTCTCCAGGCTGAACAGCCCCAGTTTGCTGGTACCCACCTGGGCATCACAAGGGCTGCATTGAAGATGGGGATGTGAGACTGCCTGGGGCCCTGCACTGGGGACCCAGGGCAGTGTGGGTGGACAGGGGCAGCAGCAGGACTCACCTGCTCTGCACCTCCCTTGCCAGGTTGTAGACGAGGCTGAGACTGCGGCTCTGCTTCTCCTGCTTCTCCCGCAGGATCCTCTCCGCCAGCAGGAAATAGGTGGCCGTGATGTGGTTGTAGCGGTTGGCTTCCAGTGCCCTGCATGGGACCAAGGGACCTGCATCAGGACTCAGAAGGACCCCAGAGCCCTTCCCGAGGGCTCCCACCACAGCATCCGTTCTGTCACGCACTCCTGGATGGTGTCCCTATCCGCAATGTTCCCACACATCATGGCCCGGAGGATGATTTCGTGCTCCTCCTGTGACACACGCTTGTGCGAGGTGAGGGGCAGCAGGCAGCGGCTGGCGGGGGACGGGTCCACCCCCTGCAGCCACGCGTGGCCCTCGATCTGCTCCAGCGAGGCTCGGCACTTAGGGTCCCGCTGCAGCATCCTGGAGATGAGGCTGGACGGGGGAAAGGGGTGACATGAACGCTGATCTTGTCAGCTCTACCACCCTTCTCCCACCCCAGCTGCCCGGGGCAGTGAGCCGGGGTTCGGGGGGCACGGGGTGGTTCTCACTCAGCACACTGAGCCGAGACGTGCGCAGGCACAGTGTATCGGCAGTCCATGATCATGGTGAGGGTCTCGCTGTCGTTGGCCTCCTGGAAGGGGGGGTGGCCGCAGACCAGCATGTAGAGGATGACCCCCAGGCTCCAGATGTCTGCAAGAAGCAGCAGCAGTTCAGATTGCACCCCCCATGGCCCAGCAGAGAGCCCCAACTCCGGGCACTACCCACCAGCCCCCAGTGCTGAGCCAGTGCTCACTGGGATGCTCTTTGGGGGCAATGGCTCCCACATCCTGCCCCACAGATGGGCGACTGCCGTCCCACTGGAGCAGGGAAGGACTTTCCCTATCCCCACAGGTGAGGTCTCAAGCAGTTGAGACCTTGTCCCCTTTTCCAGGTGGGGACAACCCTGAGCTCTCTCCCACCCAGTAACCCACCCACAGCACCATTTCATGATATTACTCATCTTCCTGGCTCCCAAACAGACCCCACCGCAGCCATCCCAGCACTGGGTTGTGCCAGAGGGGACACCACGCTGAGGATCCGGGCTCTCCAGCTGCCCGCAGCTGTGATGGAACCAGGCTGAGTGGGATCATGGGCACAGGGACTGAGCCAGCAACATCTTCACCAGCTCCTGAGCACTGCACAAACTGTCTGCAAATGTACATTTTTGTCATGCTGAGCACACCCCAGGACTCTCCATTAATACCTTCAGCTTCTTAAGTCAAGTGCCTGCATTTGAAATGTTCTCATCTGTGATAGTTTTCACCCTTCATATCCCTTGGCAGAGCCACCAGCTGCCTTTCCTACTGTCTCCACATAGAATCATAGAATCATAGAATATTTAGGGTTGGAAAGGACCTTAAGATCATCTAGTTCCAACCCCCCTGCCATGGGCAGGGACACTTCACACTAAGCCATGTCACCCAAGGCCTCGTCCAACCTGGTCTTGAACACTGCCAGGGATGGAGCATTCACAACGTCCCTGGACAACCCATTCCAGTGCCTCACCACCCTAACAGAAAAGAATTTCCTCCTTATATCCAATCTAAACTTCCCCTGTTGTAAGTTTTAACCCATTGCCCCTTGTCCTATCACTACAGTCCCTAATGAAGAGTCCCTCTCCACCATCCCTATAGGACCCCTTCGATACTGGAAGGCTGCTATGAGAGGCTACATGCTCTCCCTATTCTCAGCTCAGGAGCTGCCCTTCCCTGAGCTGACGCTGGGCTTTTTCCTTTTAAGGGCTCACATTTTGTTTTACTAAATCCTGTCCCAAATTCCAGCAGAGCTGGCTGGGGTTCCGCTTCCCTCCCACATCCCCTCTCTGCCCCAGCAAATCCTCTTGGTGCCCTCTGCTTGGGAAGAGGATGGTCTCCCAAACCCTTCTGCACTCTGGCCAGGGCGGAAGAGCACTGGGAGCCATGGGAAGGAAGTGATTTTCAGGGCGGGAATGGAGCAAAGGAAACTTTCTGGGTGGAGGAGCCCCAAGAGCAGCATCCTGAGCGGGTTTCCTTCCGGCCTCACGCCCTCAAACCACAGCCCACACCAGCCTGCTCCGACTTCATCCCCTCCCTGGCAGGATGCATGGCTCTATGGGATCTTGGTGCAGGTATAGGCAGAGCAGAGCACCCAAGGGACAGACAGGCTCGCTCCCTGCAAGGACAGCAGTGCCACCAGGGCAGAGGTGCTCCCAGCACAGGGAACCAAAACTGAGGTGGTAGCTCACCAGCAGGACCACGCTCCTGGCAAGGGACATGAGGGAAGCAGGTCCCCATGGTGCGCACCAGCCATGGTTCTGAGCCCCACCACCCTTACCGACAGCTGGGGCATCGTACTCATCCCCAAGCAGGATCTCGGGCGCTGAGTAAGCCAGCGAGCCACAGCTCGTGGTGAGCATCTTGCCGGGCTGGAAGCAGTTGCTGAAGCCGAAGTCAGTGAGCTTGACCACACCTTGCTCCTGGAAGAAGACCACGTTCTCGGGCTTGAGGTCGCGGTGCACCACGTGGAGCTTGTGGCAGTAGGAGATGGCGTGGACAATCTGGGCGAAGTAGTGCTTGGCTCGCGCCTCGGCCAGCCCACCCTCGTGCCGCATGATGTGATCGAACATGTCCCCACCGTCACCCAGCTCCAGGATGAGGTACAGCTTGGCATGCGTGTCGATGACCTCGTAGAGGCGCACCACGTTGGGGTGCTGCACCAGCTTCATGCAGCGCACCTCCTGCAGGAGCTGCCCCGCAGCGCCCCCCACCAGCTTGCTCTTGTCGATCACCTTGACGGCCACACGCTGCCCGGTGAAGACGTGCCGTGCCAGCTTCACCACCGCGAAATGGCCCGTGCCAAGCGTGCGCCCCAGGTCATACAGCCCCGCGATCTGCCCCTCGCCGCAGCCCTGCACCCCGGCCATGGCAGCACGCAGGGACAGCAGTGGGCACTGTGCCATGGGGGAGTTGCTGAGCCATGTGGGATGAGGGATGGGGCATCCCTGAACACCCCCAGCACCAGGTCAGGATCCCCTGGACATCAGAGCCCCAGAACCACGGGCATCCGTAACACCCCAGCATCCTGGGACTTGGCCATCCATCTGCACCCCCACCTCCAGCACCCTGGGCATCCCAGTACTCCCACCTATACTCCTCAGCACCCTGGGTACCCCAATACCCCATGTCCAGACTCGCAGCACCCTGGACACCTCCACACCCCCACCTCCCTTCCCCAGCACCACAGGGCATTTGAGTACCCCCACCTCCAGGTCCCCAGAACCCTGGGCACCACCCCAATACCCCACCTCCGAGTCACCAGCACCTTGGACACCCCAATACCCCACTTCCGATCCAACCCCATCATCTTGGGCATAACCGACCTCCAGGTCCCCATGATCCCAGCACTCCGGGCAACCCAATACCCTCACCTCCACTCCCCAGCATCTCGAGCACCCCCATACTCTCACCTCCAGGTCTCCAGCACCTTCATCACCCCCGTTCTCCCGCCTCCAGACCCCAGGACGCTGGGCACCCCAATACCCTACCTCCAGATCTCCAGCGCTCTGGGCACCCCGATACCCTCACCCAGCACCCTGTGCACTCCGGTGCCCCACCTTCAGTCCCCACCACCCCACGGCCCCGGGCACCCCAACACCCACCCCATGCCCTCCCCGTGTCCCGCAGTGCCCGGTTCCCCCGAGCTCACCGGGGCTGCGGAGCTGGGGCTACCAGAGCTACCGGGGCTGCGGCTGCCCGGGCGCACCGCCCGCTGACGTCAGGGCGGCTCCGGGCTCGCGGCTTAAAGGGCCCCATCCGCCGGGGCTGAGGCCGGGGTAATGCTCATCGCACCTGCCAGAAGGAAGCGGGCAGCGCTGCCCCTGGCAGTGTGGGGGGGGACGGGACCTGAGCCCGACGACTCAGTGTCCGTTAGGGGCTGGCATTAGCGTTAACGAGGGCTGGTAACGAGCTAAATGAGCCACGCGGCCGCTTCCAGGAAGAGAGGCAGAGCCCCCGCTCGGGGCTGTGTCCCGAGGGTCCTGACGTGCATGAGCTCCCTCCCTGCTGCTCTCCTGCCTGCTCATGGGCATTGCTGCCATTTCACCGGTCTCCAACATCGCCCACTCCCACCCTCGCTCGGGGCCCGGGGGCACAGACGTGAGCCCTGTTTCTTGGAAGCGGCCCATCCGCCTCATTTAGCTCGTTAATGGCCGCGGAGATGCTCACAAAGCAGATGTTGCTCCTGCAGATTAAGAAGCTCTTAGCGAGCCGCCCCCGCTATGGCTAATGCCTTCCCAGAAGTCCCGCTCGTGCCTGCGATCCCGCAGGATGCAAACAGGCATTAATGAGCTGGGCTGCGGGGCTAGCGTCAGCAGGGTGCAACTCAGACCAGGACCGAACACCCAGGGCTGGGGATGGAGGAGCTAGGGGCAGGGAACAAGCTGCCAGCAGCTCCCAGCATAGGAATTGGGGTGGATGAGGTGCTCAGCACCCATCGGGACTTTAGGAATGGGATTGGGAAGAGGGGGAGCTGTCAAACCTGCCTCTAAGCCAAGATGAGTCTTCATCTAAAGCATACAGGGTGCAGCCAGGGGCACAGGGTCATGCTCCACTGGAGATGTGCTGGGATGTCCTTGATCATGCAGGGCCTGGGAGCAGAGCCTGGGCCATCAGCCTCCCTTGTCACAGCCCTCTCAACCCCTCTTATGTCTCATCCCTGCCATGACCCTGCAGGGTCCTCTGCATCTGGGGTTCAAAGGGAAAAGTGATTCCTTCCTGGCTTCTGGCACTGGGATTTCCAGCAGACTGCTCTCAGAGTTGCTGCTGTCAGTGCACGAGGAGACTGTGGAGGCTCTCACCACCTCCACTCCTCGTTGCCCTCCACTAGTGAAGGGCCTGTGGGTGTTGGGGCCAAGTCCTTCTCCTGACAGGGTGCTGGGTGCTGCACCCGCGCTGCAGGTCTACATCCTTCTGCACAGTTGCCTGTTGTACATGTGCCAACACAGGTCTGAAGCCTTCAGTTGAAAAAGGGAGAACAGACATGAGGTGCACTGGGATGCATGTCCCCCAACAGCGCTGGCCAGTGAGAGGCTGCAGAGATGCCAGCTCCACCAGTGCCTGTTCGTGACTGAGGCTGCAGCTTGCTTTGGGGTTTGGAGTGGCCCTTGAAGGTCTCTGCACTGGGAAGCTCAAGAGGCCACATACGGTGGCTGTAAAAGACAGTGTTAGGGCTGGGGAGACCTGAGTGGCTGGTTCCTTCCTTTCTTCCCATGAAGTCAAGCTCAGGCTGCCTAGTGGGGCTCCTCTGAGAGCGCCTGGCTGTGGGGAGCTGCAGCTTTTCCAAAGAATGCCTGAATGAGAGATGCAGTTAGCACAGGTGGGAACTTGAGGAATTTGCAGTGGTCAGGAGCTGGAGGATTTATGGAGGCCCTGGACCACGGCAGGTGCCTATCAGGAGCTGTGGGCGCCATTCCCTTTGAAAACCAGAAGAGAGGAGCATGTAGGCATGTAAAGTGTGTAACCAGGAACCAGATGTCCTCAGGCTGCAGCCTCAGTGCTAGCATGGCTGGAAAGGGAATTTGGTTCAAAGGATAGTGGGGATCATGCCCAGAAACCTGACATTCTGGGGGCAATGGGGATCTGTTCCTCCCTGCAGCCATGCGGGGTGCAGGGACAGAGTCCTCTCTCCTTCCCTCCCCCCCCCCACACATCGCCCCATGGCTGCCACAGTGTCCGTACAAAGCCGGGTTTCAGAGAAGCCCACCTACCTGGTGGTTAGCAGAGTCATGTGGCTGCAGCACTTAATTAATTAAGAAGCTGATATAAACTCCAGTAAGCATATGGGGAGGATGACATCGAGGCAGAGAACGGCAGCAGCACCCCCAGCAAGCTTGGAGAAGCAGCAAGCAGCAAGCCTCTCTTTGCTTGGAGAGGTCAGTGCTTACCATGGGAAGGGGCTGGGATGGGCTGGGGGCATGTGGGATGCAATACCCACAGCTGTGGGTCTCTGCTGGCAAAGGGCTGGATGGTTTTGTCGGGATGGGGAGGCAAGGAGTGGCTGGTACAGCTCTGGGCTGCTGGAGCCAAGGCTGGAGCCCCAGTGCTGCCAAAACAAGAGGTGCTGGGTTCCATGGTAGTCCCCATCCAGGCCCATGGGCAGGGAAGGGGAAGCAAACCCTGGGGTGGTCCAAAGGAGGGTACATCTGGAGATGGTGTCCATGTCCCAGGCAGAGAGAGTTTTGTATCCAAACGCTTCAATTAGTGTCAGATGTTTTGGCCACATCCCATACACATGCAGGCAGTAAAAGCACAGCACTACAATGGCTTGTGGCTGCTGTAGGATGATGAAGGCTCCTCAGCATTCTGGGCCAGGGAGACCCTGCACTGCTGTAAAAGAACTGTGGAATCATAGGGTTTGGGTTGAAAGGGAGTTTAAAGCTCACCCAGTTCTAAACCCCTGCCATGGGCAGGGATACCTTCCACTAGAGCAGGTTGCTCCAAGCCCTGTTCAAGCTGGCCTTGAACACTGCCAGGGATGGGGCAGCCACAGCTTCTCTGGGCAACCTGTGCCAGGCCTCACCGATCCCACAGGGTATGTGATGGCTCAGGAAACACTCTCCAGTCCACAAGAGCAAGTGGTGTGGTGGGTGTTGGCAGGGCCTGCTTGGGGGGGTGATGGTAGAAGGGTGGCAGTGGGGGCCAGGCCGGGCTGCCTGCAGGTGGGCTGACTGGCCAGGACCTATCTGTGTGCAGGTTGCCCCCCAGGACCATGCTGAACGTGCTGCTGCTGTGCTGCGGGCTGCTGCAGGGGGTTGTCCTCAGTGCCGACCTGGGCTGTGGGCTGCCAGAGAAGGCGAGTGGAGGGCTGGAGGGCACAGACAGAACCCGCTCCTCCAGCCTGCTGCGGAGAGTCAAGGAGGTGTCTGTGGAGCCGGCGGGTGAGTCCTCTGGTGCCCTACTCTCCCAGTTCCCCCCCCTCCTCCACAATCTGCTTGCTGGCATGGCTGGGGCCCCGAAACTGAAGTGAGGACCCGCCATCCATGGCCAGGTGCTGCAGGGGAGCCCCATAAAGCAGCACAGCTTTTTCTGTCACTGACTGGTGACAGCAGTTATATAACCTCCACTATATTGCAGTGGCTCTCACCCCCTTGCTGTCGAGCCTTTGTATCTTGCAGGAGCTCTCCCCAGGCTGGGGCTCGAGCAGGTGACCCTGGAGGTCCAAGAAGCCAATGGTAACCTCATGAAGAGAGACAGCATCCTAGAACCACAGGTAACGCTCCTTGAGCTTTCTTACAGGTACCTCAAGAAGCAGGACAGCCTTCTCAGTGCCCCTGGGGCCAGCGTGGTGTTGCCTGGGAAGGGCATATCTGTTCATTGCCTGCTGGAGAGCAGTTAGGGCTGCCCAGAGCTGCAAGGGGCTCTGGCATAGAAAGGAGGGTAGTCCAAACCTGTGCCCCTGCAGTCTGTTTAATTAACCTCATGTGCACATTCTGCAGAGCAGGAGGAAACCAGGCAGTGCCTGGCTCAGACCCTGGTGCTTCTGCTTGGTGCCACCTTCATTAAAGTTGAGGCTGCACTCCAAGTTAAATGTGTTCATAGAGGCCTTGAGACATGATGGATGAGGCATGTGAGCCCCCAGGGCTCAGTGGTGATTTCCAACAGACCCAGTCCAGAACTGAGCATGACAGAACTGGGCTGCTGGCAGCAGCAGGTTTCAGCAACCACTCTTGTCTCTTTCCCACACAGTGGTCTAACACCAACTCTTTTCCTCCTCCCTCCACCAGGCATCCTCCACAGAAGTAGAAGGTGCCGGCCGTGAGGAGCGCTCCCCCCGCCGCTGTGTCCGCCTCCTGGAGTCTTGCCTGGGCCACCAGGTCCCTTGCTGTGACCCCTGTGCCACCTGCTACTGCCGCTTCTTCAATGCCTTCTGCTACTGCAGGAAAATCAGCACCAGCTTCCCCTGCGGCAAGAACTAGTGCTTGTGCTGTGGGACTGACTGCTCCTTGCCCATGTGTGGCATGTCCTGCTTTGCAGGTCTAATAAACCAGCTGTTAGCAAAAGCTATTGCTGAGTGGGAATGGTTCAATGTATCTGCTTGGGAGTCTCAGGGAAGAGGGGGAGCAGCAAAGCGAGAGTACCTCTGCCCAGGTGGGCATCATGTCCACACAGACAATGTCAAGCACCTCCATGTCAAGCAAAATGAGACTGACTTTCTTTCCAGAGCCCCTGCAGGGTTTTTCCTAGTCTTTCAGGAGGGGTGCCCCAGGAAGTGACATTCCGGCTGCACTGGGAGCTTCACTTGTGTTCTTGTCCTGTCAGTATTGCTTGTGGTGCCACCAAAATCCAGGAAATAAACTTTGTAACCAGAATGACAGGTTAGAAAGCCAACATTATTGTGGTACCAGGTGCATAGGGGATTGTTCTGCCTATCATGCACACTGAGAAGAGACAGTTTACAGCTTATATATCATTATTATATGCATAGAATCATGTAATTTGCATTCAAAGAGACCTTAAAGCTCATCCACTTCCAGGCCCCTGCCACAAGCAGGGAAACCTTCCACTAGACCAGGTTGCTCCAAGCCCTGCCCAACCTGGCCTTGAACACTGCCAGGGATGGGGCAGCCACAGCTTCTCTGGGCAACCTGTGCCAGGGCCTCACCACCCTCACAGGGAAGAACTTCTGCCTAAGATCTCATCTCAATCTCCCCTCTGTCAGGTTAAAGCCATTCCCCCTTGTCCTGTCCCTACAGGCCCTTGTCCAAAGCCCCCCTCCAGGTTTCCTGTAGCCCCTTTAGGCACTGGAGCTGCTCTAAGGTCTCCCATAAGGAGCCTTGTCTTTCCAGCCTGAACAAGCCCAGCTCTCCCAGCCTGTCTCCAAGCAGAGGTTCTTTAGCCCTCGCAGCATCTTGGTGGACTCCTCTGGGTTTGTTCTGGCAGCTCCAGGTCCCTCTTGTGGTGAGGACACCAGAAGCGCACACGGTGCTCCAAGCGGGGACTCACCAGAGTGCCCAGATCTCTCATTACTCACTGCATATCGTTCTGCATCTCCCCCACGTGTCTCTGGGGGTCATCTGGGGAGAAATACCCCCACTCATTTTACCCTTTTATGTAAACCCAGTACTTAAGGACACTGAAATGCTTGTTTAGCCTTGTTAATTAACTATGTATTCTCATTTGGGTTAATTTACAACCCTAAAAGGCTCCTTATAGCCGTTTTTTTCTTGGAACCATTAACCTATCAACGCAAGGAAGGCCCACACCGATTTAAAATAAAGCAGCTGGTCCTCTTGTTTCATGCCTGCTTTACCTGGAGAGTTTTGGAAGTTTTGCCCATTACTATGTCTATATACAGTGAAATACTTGTTTAATTCGGTCTTAGTGGTGGCTTATAACCTCCAGGAACAGGGCTTGAAAAGCAAGGCTGTGTTGGGGCCGTCAGCACTACCGACCCCGGAGCTCCCGCCCCACGCCACTGCCCCCACAACCGCCACCACCGCTTCCCGCCCTGCACTGCCTCAACGGAAGGACGCAGGGGCACGCACGCACGCACGCACGCACGCACGCACGCACGCACGCACGCACGCACGTACGTCATGTAAGCCGCCGCCATAGTCCTGCCGCCTCTTCGCCCGTCGCCATGTCGTCTTTCCCGGAGCTGTATTTTAATGTCGATAACGGGTACTTGGAAGGCTTGGTGCGCGGTTTTAAGGCGGGAGTGCTCCGGCAAGGCGACTACGTGAACTTGGTGCAGTGTGAGAGCCTGGAGGGTGAGTTGGGGGTGTGTCTGAGGTGGGTGGGGGACACCCTCCGCCTTCATACTGAGGAGAATGGCTGTCGGGCTGAGGGGAAAGCTTAATGGAGGGGTGGTGGGACCGTGGGGAGGCGGGGTGTTGTGTGGCAGTGAGGAAAAGAGTCCATATAGGCCTTTTTGAGTTTTTTTCCCCTCTTCACTCTGGCTGAGCAGGCATTTGGCGCCATAGAATCATAGAATGGTTTGGGTTTGATCATCTAGTTCCAACCCACCCTTCCGTGGGCATGATACCTCACGCTAGAGGTGTCCCCCCACCGCGGCTGCTTCCTCTGAGCTCAGCTGACTCAATTTTGTGGCCTTGCGATTGTAGCAGCTGATGAAAGCTGGCAGTTTAAGGAAGCTCAAGCTCCCAATGCTTTCTTGAGGAGGCTGTCTAGCTGTGGTGTGTTTCCTGCGGTTGTTGGGAACCTGGTTAGTTTGTCAGGCTTTGCTGAGGAGTCTTGTTTTGGGCTTTCACTTCCTAAGTGGCAGGCAGAGCAGGAAGGCTTTTTAAGGCCAGAAGCAAGATTAATGGGGTATTATAACTTAATCCCTGATACCCGTGATCAGTTTAAGGAGATTGGGTCCCTTAGGAAAGTACATGTTGTTACTGAAGGGTTGCTAGTGGAAAAACTCTAGTGCAGACCTTTGTAAATTCACTGGTGAATTACGCTTTACCTGTGATTTTGAGTTCTCTTTCAAGGCTAAATCTGACTTCCAGACATCGTTTTTTATTCTAGATCAGTGTGTATAAACCTAGAGAGCTGTGAAGGTTTTGCTTAGTGATGCTTTTCATCTCTGTTCAGTTTGTCTTAATTAGCCAGTGCTGATCTATTCCTCTGTATCAGTGACCTGCTTAAGAGTTTTCCCTCATGGGTGCCCAGAACCTGGGTCACAAATCATGAAGATCAAAACCAGGTCTCTCTTGAAACAGAAACATGTATCCAGAGATGTTGGTTGTTTTGGTCAATAGGGCTATAATTATTGGATCATTCTTTTTTCTGAAAATAGTGGTTAAGGTCAGCCTGATCTTAACCATTGCTGAGTGACTGAAATTTATATTAACTCTCTAGAGGGATCCTTGACCAGCAGAACCCTGGATGCAAATTACTTGGAGCTACTTGCTCAACTGTTAAATAACAGAATGGAAACAGAATGCTGTGGTGTGCCTCAGTCTCTACCTTAAAACATATCCAGGGTGGTTTTACTTAGTACAGAAGCCCCTTTTCAGGTAGACTTTTTTGCAGCTCTTTGCTTGCAGCAGTCTCTGTCATTCTTGCTATGGAGCTCAGGGTTTGGAAGAGAGTCGTGGGAGGCATTTCTGCTCACCTGCTAGTCGCCAGTCTCAGCATGCCCTAAATTATCACTTTATCACCTTCCCTGCGGGTAACTTCTTTGGAGTCTTTCTGTACCTTACAGCTTCTCCTTAAGTATATAATTTTTTTTCCCCCTCCTTTCCTTGCCTTCTGAATGAGATTGTGTAAATTTTGCTTTCACTTGGAGTCCTGTTTTCTCCATTTGGAGTGATCATTTCGAAGTTCCCATATCAGTCACAGAATCCTAGGTTGAAAGGGACCTCAAGGATCATCTGGTCCAACCTTTCTAGGCAAAGCATGAGCTGGACTGCATGTCTAAGCATCCTGTTCAGCCCAGTCTGAAGTGTTTAGTGTTGGGGAGTCCAAAATTCTCTGCAGAGGTTATTCCAATGGCTGGCTGTTCTCATTGGGAAAAATTTTCCTTTTGTGTCCAGTCAGAATCTCCCCAGGAGTAACTTGTGCCATCCCCACTCATACATTTGTCTTGGTATTGTTACTGCCCTGTCCTGACAGCTCCCTGATGGTGGCTGCCGCTATGCTCCTTGTCACCCTTCATTCAGAGCCTGAATGCTGTTCTAAGTTCACTGCCAGTCTCATTCCTCTTCCACTTGGCTTTCTGTGCCCCTGGAGATACCAGAAGTGACTAAGTCCCTCTACAAGACACTCTACATTGTGCTCCTATAGAAGGATTTTCCTTCAAAGCAACATTGCTGTTGATCACTTACTATGTCTGTGGCCAGACCATTTCTTTCTTCTGTCCCTTTAGTTCCCATTTTCCTATTTCAGTATCTGTTTTCTGTGCTTTGCAGACTTCTAACACTTTCTCTCCCAGATGCTTGTCTGCACTAAATCCAGGCAGTAGCTAGATTACCAGCCAAAATAATTACTCTGGCATAAAATAAACTTTCTGCTATTCTTTTTTGTCTTCACTGCACCTCTTGCCTGAGTCTGGCTCTGCAGTTAGTTCAGTTCTGGAGCAAATTATCACCTTGGTCCTGAAGAACCAAGTCTGTCTGGGGGCTGGCCCTGGGAATCTGGTATCCGTCTGGTTGCTGCTGCTAGGAGGTATTGCTTCCAGGTCTGAAATGCTGCTTCCTCTTGTGTGCTTGTATCGTTCTGGAAGCAAAAAGGAATTGACTTCTCTGCTTCAGGACTTGGGCTTACAGCTTAGTGCTGCTGGAAGGAGGTCATGCTTTTCTGTGTGATCCTCTGCTTATCTGATCACAGAGAAACCCAGTTCAAGCTCTGGCTTCTTAATGAGCTGGAAATAGAGCCAAACAGGTGGTCAGGCAGGCTCCTGAGCTGGCTACAGAAGGGGCAGGAAAACATAAGCAGGATTGAGGTGAGGGAGTAAGAGCTGTTTTGGCTTAAGTTCTCTCTTGAAACCCTCGCCAATAATATATTTAATCCCTTCTTTTAGCTCCAAATTTTGTGATTGTTTCTCTGCCAGAAATCCTTGTGTGCCACACACCTGTGCTGGATATTAGAATCTGCCTGGCCCTCTCTGTGGCAGCCAATTCCTGCTTCTGACACAAGGTGTCAGTGAAGGACTGGGAGCTGCTTTCTTTTGCCTCGATGCTGTGAGCATGGATTTGTGCTTGAGTGGACTCTGTCTTGGGTAACCAAACTTATGAGTCACTCACATTTCTGCTGTCAAACGGGTGGTGAGCTGTCTCCACCTTCTAAAAGCTGTGGTGGCCTGTTAGAGAGCTGGTATCATCTCTGGAGATTAAAAAGCTGTTGATGCATTTGGACAGCAGTGCTGCTTTTAAGCAGCAGAGTTCAGTCTGGGACTAGAATGTAGGTTATTTCCAGGCTTTACTGTTGGTCTGCAGTGCTCCATACTCGAAGAAGTATATGGAGCCTGAAGTGCACAGAAGCATCTTTAGAAACAGGAATTTCTTTTCCTTCAAGTTAGCATTCATGAGCCTGCTATCGCTAATGTTCTTCTTCCTTCCACACTGTTAGTATAGGAAACATTTCTTTTTGACCAGCTAGTGTTACAGATGTGATTGATACAGTGAA